TTGTAGTAAAACAGGGATGAGGTTTGTCTGCACACACACAGTTGAAAATATACAACTATTCACATAAACAGGGAATGTGTATGAATGAATCCAAACACTACAAGCCTACGTTTTTACAGTAGAAGTGTTCACAATCAGGAATTAACATTAATTTGCAGCTTCTTACCAGTTTGTTTCGATTCCCTCCGACTGACTGAACTCCTCTTCATGTTCCTCTCTGTTACTGATGTCAACAGACAGCAGGACATCAGCCAAGTCATGTCCCTGAGCGCTACAGACCCAAGCAGCTCCGCTCTTCACAGCAATGTCCACCATGATGAACCTACCAGGAGACAAGCTAGGACACAAAGTAGGAAAGGAGACAAGTGTGAATAAGAACAAGTTAGGAGACAGAAGTAGAAGTTCTGAAACAAAGCTGAATGAAGCCGGGACAGCAGACCGGTTAAGAGATGGGTTTGGAGACAACTTGGAGAAGTTTATCAATAACGTTATAACAGTAACTGACGTGTCACTGAGGTCACATGACATCTGTCTCCCACCCTGGTCACAGACTCTTCTACACATCCTGTATATACAGTACGCATTACATTAATGCACCGCCGTCTTCTGCACAGTCTTCCTTTCTTATCTTTCTTTATTTAGATTTTTCTGTGATTTGTTTATTTGTATATTTAATGTAACAATTGCACCAGGACACATTCCTCGTAGGTGTGAAAACCTACTTGGCAATAAACATAATTCTGATTCTGATATCATACATTATATTATCATACATTATATTATCATACATTATATTATCATACATTATATCTGTGTGCAGGATAAAGCACGTGGGTGCATTGTGACTAGTAATCGTTTTATTATAAGAGATGTTTTATTATAGCGTTGGTTAACAGTAAATAAACAGTAAATAAACAGTAAATAAACAATACTGTTAATATTAATCATAACGCTGCTTGTACCTTCAGCTCAACCCGTTGATTAGCTCGTTTTCCTCAGCTCACCGGTGAATTTTCGTCTTCGCATTTCTTCAGACGGATTATTATTTTTTTAAATAAACTACGTCTGAACTTTTATTCGCGTCTATAAATGATAAATGATGATAATAAATCGTTTAATGTCTGACTCCATGTAGCTCAAAGCTAACACCCAGCGCGTCACAGCGCGTCACGCAGCGTCACGCAGCCAGGATGTTGTGGTGCGGCGTCATCAAACAGCGACTCAAATGAGACGTCAAATCCATTATTGGTAAATAAATAAACTCTTTTTTTTTTTTAAAGTAAAACAAGTATTTTTGTACATGTTTTTTTTTATCAGAATTGTTTAAAACCGTACGACATGTCCTCAGTATATTCTCAGATTCTGTCTTTAATTATGTAACGTCGTAGTGAACAGCTGAGAGTTTGATGTTTGTTGATGTTTGTTGATGTTTGTTTCCAGTCCTCTGTTGTTGCTCAGTGGTAGACAGATAGTGGCTCTGTTTGAAGCAGGGCATGGACTTCACAGAGTGCTACGGAGACTCGGTGTCCAGTGTTGCAGCTGCAGCTCGCTCCGGCTGCAGGAGGCGGGTGAGGAGGCTGATAAAGAGGGGCTACAGTGTGGACTGTGGGGACAACCGAGGCTGGAAGGCCCTGCATGAGGCTGCAGCAGCTGGCAGCAAGGACTGTGTGCAGGAGATACTGTCTGCTGCTGCTGGTAAGAAACTGTAACATCTCACAGGAGTAGTTCTCACATTTTAGAAGCTGGGGCCAGAGATATTTTAGATTTTTCCCTGGATAAATCACTTTAAGATATTCATTTTCTGCCAGGGAACTAATCTATGAATGGACTGGAATTAAATATATACAATTTACAATGGTATGAAACAGGAAAGCAGCACAACCAGATCATGTTAGCAGTTTTGCTTAATGGGTTACTTTAACAGTTATCAGACTAGTTTATGAATCAATCTGTTCAGAAGTTTTCTTTAAAGTCTAATATGCATTTCAGGAGACAATTTTAATGTTTCCCTTTCTGACTGTGAGCAGCAGGCTCCTCCCATGGCTGCCGTGCCTATGTGAACTCTCTGACACATGAGGGGGAATCTGCATGTTACCTGGCAGCGAGGCACGGACACCTGGCAGTGGTCCGACTCCTCCTGAAAGCACACGCCAACATCAACCAGCTAACTAATGACCTATCCTGTCCTCTGTATGCAGGTATAACACATGCACATTATCAAAGTAGTGTCTACTAATGAACTAATGAGTGTACTGTTTAGTTCCTCTTTTGGATTGTAGAGTTGTATTAATTGTGTGTGCAGTATTTATCAGCTGCTAACTGCTCTCCAACAGCTGTGGACGGTGGGTACACGGAGGTTGTAGAACTGTTGGTCAGTAAAGGTGCAGAGGTCAACAGGACACACACCGCCTCCTGCTGGACCTGCCTACATCAAGCTGTTTATAAGGTGATAACACAACTCACAAATACAACTCTGTGAGATGTATCCTCACGTTACATAACATACAGATTTTTTCATTCCCTCAGGGTCACAGTGAAATTGTGCGCATACTGGTCAATGTGTGCAACTTGGAAGCACTAGATGACCATAAGATCTCCCCGCTCTTTGTGGCTGCACAGTATGGACAGCAGGAATGTCTGGAAATCCTTGTCACTGCTGGTAAATGGCTTATTTCTTTGTATTATTTATATTCTTGTGTGTGCATGTGTTTATAGCGTAATGAATTATTGTCCTGTGTACCAGCTACTCTCTCTACCTCTTCTTAAACCAGTAATTGAGTAAAATAAGATACATAATGAAGTGTGTTTGATTTGGTTTTCACTTCAGGTGCCAATGTGAACACCCAAGCAGCTGATCTGGCCACGCCGCTGCTGATCGCCTCTCAGGAGGGCCACCAGGCATGTGTGGATTTCCTGTTGGACCACGGGGCAGATCCCAACATAGCCTGCAGTCACGACTGGCCCCAGCTTCCCATTCATGCTGCTGCTGAGTTTGGCCACATCGGGTACTGACTTGACTTTCAATGACATATTGTTGGGCAGTGATTCCTTCACCTTTTTTTTTAATGGGGCTTCTTATAAAGAGGCAGTTTTCAGTTGTGATCTCTCATCACATGTTTCATTTGTCCGTGTGTTGTGAACTGTTTTTTTTATTTGAAAAAAAAGAGGCTTGAAGAGGAACTACTCAGGAAAGTTAACAAAAAACTGATTAGAGTGGTTTATTATTTATTTTTTTATTAATCATTTGGTTGATTAAATGCCAAAAAATAGTGAAGACCCAAAGATGATTCTATTAACAATGATAAACAGGGAAGAGCAGCAAATATGAAATATTTAGCTTTTTTGCTTGATAAAAGATTTGATATAATTACAAACACATTGTACCTCTGTGATTTTGTCCATCCAGTGTCCTCAGGAGGCTGATAGCTGTCACAGATCGTGTGTGTGACCGTGGTGATGGCATGGTGAGTCCATTGTACGTGGCCGTCCACAGGCATCGGAGCAAGAGCATCGAGGTGCTCTTGAGGGAAGGTTATAGCCCAGACGCACAGGCTTGCACGCACATCCTGGGCCACCATTCACCACTCTCCGTCGCCCTGTGTAACACATCAGACAAACCATACAGGTTAGTAAGAAAGCAGATTTGACCTCCTCATGCAGATGATAAAACAGGTGGATTTGTCCCTGATTTCATTTAAAATCTCTTTCAGTGAATCAGTGAGGCTGCTGATAGCTGCAGGAGCTAGTTTGAACGAGGAGGACTGGATTTATGCCTTGGCCACCGACAAAACAGACCTGCTGCAACTTATACTGGAGCACAGATGGATCCCTCGACCGGAGACTTTGACCAGGAACTGTTCTGTACCACATCATCGTGGGAAAACTGTGTTAAAGCTGCAGGAAATGAGGGGGCTGCTCTGTGTGGCACTAAACCAAGTACATTTTGCTGCGTGCTGGCTTCCTCTGCTTCTGAAAGCAGGACTGGAACCTTCTTTGCTGCTTCAGCCCCATATGTAAGTCTGTCATTTCTCTTTCTCAGTCTTTAATCAGGTATTGGATGGCTAAACTTGATCAATTTCTTTCTGTCCTCAATACTTTCCAGGTTTGAACAGGCAGACAGCGAGGTGTTGAATTACCTGCTAGAGTTTGTAAACTGGTCGACTCTGTCACCCCCTTTGAAACATATTCTGGATCAAAGACGAGCAGAGAAGACGTGGGAACCATGTCCATGTTTTGGTACAGTAACAAAATGTGCACTGCAGAATTGCTCTTAGAATCTGTAGTAAACTTTGATTGAGGGTAGTTTTAATTCTTTCTTTATTTTCCTCTAGAATCCATTACCTGTCTTTCCCACATCTGTCGGCTGCGGGTTAGGTCAGTGTTGGGACCAGATCTACTGATGAGGACCAACGTAGTCCAGCAGCTCCCAGTGCCCTCCCCACTTCATGGTTTCCTCCAGTTCAGAGACATCCCGGAAGCTTCCTTCAAACACTCACCGCCATCAACACTTTCAAATCGAATACAGGAATACAGCAGTACATACCAACACAGACATGTTCTATAACCCAGTTGTCCCCTTCATGCTGCTATGAGGTTGTTAAAATCAGCTTGTGGAAGCTATATGAGTGTAAAATTCAAATCCAAGAATACATTTGTTTATGGCTGCACTATTCCATCAAATAGAAATATTTTATGCACCATTTGACACACTTTTCCTCAAAAAAACAACGGCATATTTGGTGTATTTGGAGACATTGAGTATATTCTGTAGGTTTGAACAGAGTATGACTACACAGGTGGGCCAGTGAGGTTTAAAAAGACGATACTTCGATATTCTATCTATAAAAAAACATTTCCCACATTTGCATATTGTATATATCCATGCTGTTTGTGTTCATCTGTTTCTCTGTGCCAGATTCCTTGATTGAATTAAACGAGTCAAATGTTTGTTTTGTGTTGTTTTTGTTCAGTTTATATATTGATTTATAGTTATACATTCTCTGTTTGTGATATAAATTGTAATTGGTGCAACTGGTTGTCAATAACACGTCGGATCGGATCTGATTGGTTGCTGTGGCACTTTGTGGATCTCTATGTTTGACAGGAGGAAGAAGGGAGAAACAAGGCGCTCGTCGTTTGCGGGGTTTTACTTGACATGAACCAACATCTGTAATGTAAGGCTGTTTAAAAATCACAAGTTGGGGGAAAGATATGTCTTAATGCATTTCATCCGTGAGTATGTTGAATGTTTTTCTCGGTGCATGTTTGTTTCCCCCAAAAGGATGTCGGCTGTGCTGTTAGCTCGTTAGCTTGTGCGCATTCACATCGAGACTGAAACCTTTCGTTCATTAGCTCCACTTCTTCTGATAACCTCAGTGAGCATCGGGACAGAGAGGTGAAGACTGCTTCCTCCAGTTAAAAGGAGCAATTTCGTAGCTTAATGTTGCTGAAATGTCAACAATACACCAGAGCGGATAGGCTAAAGTCCGCTAGCTGTCGGTGGTAACCAGCTAAATGCTGATTGGAGAGGAAGGTTATGTTTCATCTGTGGTTCGCTGGTTAAAAGCCACTTAATGATAATGTAGTTATTAACTGTGAGACACACCAGCCTGAGCAGCTCTGACTGAAACAGAGACAGGAGCTGCAGCCGACTCCCTCTGTAAGAGGAGTCGAGGTCGTTTTTAAAGTAAGGCTGCACCTTAAATCCAAATGTTAGAGAAGTCACATGAGGTTTTCATGAGGGTAAAATGTGACAAACAGCGTTATAGTGATAAGTTACTGTGGTTCTGCAGTCTTAGAGAAAACAAACACCCACAAATTTCAGGATTTTAATAGTTTTTTCTTTGTTTTATCTTTTTACCACTTGTGCCAGCCTATTTCAAAACTGTGTCTCATCCAGTTTATCTTTGTCAGACATACATGCAAATAAATGAAGTACATTTATTGCACAGAAAGTATACAGTACATCAGTGCGTTAAGAAACTGTACTGGATGTGTGTTTATTTTGGTGTGTACAGTACAAAGATCACTGACTCTAACATCTGTGATCATGACTACAGTGCTGTAGGGAAATCCACCCTAACAATGGTGAAAGCCTTTGAATTTGTAGCTTATTCCATGAACTTACTCTTCTACAGCGACATACAGGCCTGCAACTAATGATTACTTTTTATCATATAACCTGCTGATTATTTTCTTGGTTAATTAAAATGGTTCCTGGTTGCATCATTGTTATTTTCCAGTAAAGCTTGCATCATAAAAACAGACCACTTTTAAACAGAGTCTGCAGTTCTGTTTTTAAATACTGAGGCAGAACGTCCCTTAATTAAAAGTGGGACATAAGGAGGTCTGCTTTGGGTGGTCACATTAGTTATTGCTGTTGGAGTAAGGCATCGGGATACGTTGATACGACACTTATTCTTTTAAAGGTCTGTACTGAAAAAAGAAGATGCATGTTAATCAATGTCCAGGACAGAAGTGTTCATGTCCTCTGACTTGTTTGTTTGTTTTTTAAACTTGCAGCTGAGGCCAGCATTAGGGAGACGACTTCTCGTCCACACGTCATCCAGATGAGGCATGCTGGAAGTATGCAGCCCACGTATAGAAGAGATGCTGGAGTCTGGCACCAAACAAGAAGTCTACTCTACAAGAATCTGCTCATCAAATGGAGGACCAAGCAACAGAGTCTTCAGGTGCTTACTTTTCACAGGACTGATATGAATGTGTTCAGGGTAGAGCCTGGTTTCTGTTCTAATTAGTTTCATCTAGCATATGTCTGTGTTTGACAGTTGCTGCAACTTCTCGTGTTGATAACTTATATTACATACATAGATACAATAATATACAATTTATATAAGAATTTATTTTAAATCCGCTGTGTCCAGTGTACAGTTTGTCTGACTAATCTAACTCATCTGTTTTACGCCTCACAGTTAAAGTATTTTACCTCTGACAACCGAATAAGTGTGTTTGTTAAAGAGTTCGTTGTTTGCCAGTGATGAGTGCATTCCTTGCTTTCCACACACCCTTTCTCAGGGCTAGCACACTGTCATGGTCCATATTCTGTCTGGATCTCTAAGAGAGCTCTGGGTTTATTTCAAGGTAACCTCAGCTGCAGTTAATACGCCTTATAATCTGGTCTTTTTGTCAATCTATACACAATATAAGTTTTGATTTTGGAATGAAATAAACAAGATGCCTTGTGCCTCTTTCCGCTTTTAGTTTCTTCATTGTTCGGTCATGCATTTTTCATTTGGCTTTAAGTTGCACTGATGCATTTTTAATGTCTCTCTGTATCAACTTTTTAGGACAGGAGGGACTTCCTGCAGCTTCCTTAACAGCAATTAGGAAAGTCCTTTTGTAAAGCTGCAGTGTGAACAATACTGCTTGTTTACTTCATACCAGAGATGCCAACTGTTTGTCACTGGCTGCTTAAGCTCGAGAGAACAATTTATCCTGAGTTACTAGAAATCTGATTAATCCTTTTATGCAGTGTTCTGTGGAAACTGGATAACAGAACCCAGCTTTGTTGGTTTGTAAGGAAAATCTATGGTGTTTGGGAGTGTTTGCTAAATGAGATTTTAGTTGTGTTGTGGAAACCGATAATCCCAGGTGAACCAAATCTCCTCATCGAGTTTTCAACCACAAGCCCTAAAATATGTCTTGGTAAAGCAGTTTTAAAGCCAGACAAGCTCCTAAATTAGCTTGTTACATGCCAGTGGCTCACAATTTATTGTTTCAATTCACCGTGTTGGTGGTCAAGGTCAGGCTGTTGCGTGTTGTTTATGGGTTGAGGAGGTCGTTTGTCATAAGGTTTGATCTAGTTGTTAAAACCCCTGAACACAAATACTTGTTTAAAGGAATTAAGTATTTGGGTAGTGACCAGATCCAACTGGGAGGAGATGTCGAGACAGACACAAAATATGTTGAAGGCATTACATGTTCCATCCTGTCTGGAAATGCTTCAGGACCCTTCAGGTTGCGTCAGGGCTCCAGACTGTTGTGCTTACCAGGATAAGTAGCAGAAGATAAATGGAGGAGCTGTAGTTTGAAGTCATGTGTGTGGTCGGACTAATCTATAGTAGAATTTTTCTCCACGGATCAATTGTGGCAAACCACGTGTGGTTTTCTCATCAGCTGGTCCTTTGTGCCTGTCTTTGCAGGAATTGATCCTACCTCTGCTACTGTTGGGTCTCCTGATACTCATCAGCACCCTCAATCCTCATGTTTATTATGGAGGCATCAACACTACGGAGCTGGAGCGTGACGACCACTTCCTCAAGGGTCTGGGATACACACCAATCACCAACATCACTAATCACATCATGGAAGAGGTGGCCCAGGAGATGCGTAAGTGCTTGAGAACAATTTCATCCGTTAGATTCAATCCTACTATATCACTACTGTATCAAATTGGAAAGGGAAGGAGGAAGGGGAACCAATATGCATGGCTTATAACACTTTTATTCTTGTGTTTACAGACATACAGGATCGTCTGGAGATGTTTGCTAGTGAGGAAGACCTGGAGAACGCAAGCCTGTATGAGCCCTCCAGCTATGTCGGTGTTGTGTTCTTGGACAGCTCTGCAACATCTTACAAACTACGCTTCCCATACAACCAGCTGCCACTACCCAGCGATTACACAGAATCTTTTGGTAAAGTCTTCATTCTGGCACATGCGTCTGGCCACTCTTCCATTCAAACTGAATGGATTGGAAATGCACAGAGATGCAAGCAAGATTATCACCTAATGTAAAGTGTTGTGCTTATCCTTTTCTAGCCAACTGTTTTACCAGCTCGGTGAACTGCAGAGCAGCTAATTACTGGTACTCTGGCTTCATCCGTCTCCAGTCTATGATCGATGCAGCCATTATCCAGGTAAGGCAGGCCAGAGATCAGCACAACAAGTTTGTCCACTGTGAACCCAGTGAACTTCATATATATATATATATATACACATATACACTATATATAAATATATATATATATATTATATATATATGATATATATATATTATTATATAAGTAGTATATATATATACTATAATATATACATATGTGTATACTATATATATGTGTATATGTATATGTGTATATAATATGTATTGTATATGTGTTTATATATATGTATATGTTGGATAGTATATATATATGGTAGTATGATAATGTGTATATAGTATATATTATATGTATATGTGTAGTATATATATATGTATATTATATATATATATATTATATGTGTATATATATATTATAATGTAATATGTCGTATATAATAATATATATATGTATATGTGTTACTATATATATATATATATGTATATGTGGTATATAATATACTATATAGTATAGTGGTATATATATATATATATATGTATATGTTATATATATTATATATTTATGTATATGTGGTAACTTATAGTATAGATATATATATATATGTATCATTGTGTGTATATATATATATATAGGTACTATGTATATGGTTTATATATTATATATATATTATATATGTTATATGTTGTTATATAGTATATATATAATATGTATATGTGTATATAATATATATATATTATATGGTGATATATATATATTATATATATGTATATGTGTATATATATATATATTATATGTATATGTGTATATATAGTATATGTATGTAATGTATGATGGTATATATATATATATGTATATGTATATTATTATGTGTATCTATATATATATGTATATGTGTATATATATATGTATATGTGTATATGTGTATATATATGTGTATATATATATATTTTTTTTTTAAAACATATTATGTATGTTAGTTTGTTTTGTGTCATTGCACAGAATTTAAATGAATTTAGTATTTTGAGAAATCACTGAAGACAATAAAACACGTGGCATCAATGGTTTAAGTATGAGTAGGGTTTGATATAATGCTAAAACAATTAATCTGTTATTTTATTAGTTGTCTGACTGAATTGATTAAACTAGGGATGAGCGAGTACACCATTATCTGTATCTGTTTAACCAACTAAATTAAGTATACAAGCAATTTAAAAATGTTACCTTGGACCCCCAGATCTAATGATGGCCATTTTTCACTTTTTGTTTAGACAAAAAAAAAAAAGTAAATAAAAAAGATGATAAATTAATCTATAACGGTTCATCTTTTGTGTACAGATGCAAACAAAGCGTTCAGTGTGGAGTGAGATGGACCTGAAGGTAGTAATGATGGGTCAGCCGGGCTCTGTGGAAGTTCAGAAATTCCCCCACGCTCTCATCTCCATCTACCTGGTCCTGGCTTTCACACCCTTCGTCACCTTCCTCATTGTCAACGTGGCAGCTGAGAAGGAACATCGCCTCAAAGACACCATGACCATGATGGGGCTCTACGACACTGCTTTTTGGTGAGGGAGAAAAGGCCGTCAGTCGCTGTAGTGTCAGACTCTTGTTTAGGTTTTTTTTGGATAAATATAATGTGTAAGAACCTGCTTTCTGTGTGCATGTGATTGTGTATATGGTTTTAAGTTTTTATGTTGTACAACAGGTTGTCATGGGGCCTCCTGTATGCTGCTCTGGTGACCACCATGTCCTTCCTGATGTCCATTATCGCTACGTACACAGCTCTGTTCCCTAACAGTGACTTCTTTGTCATCTTCTTGCTCATCTTCCTCTATGGCATATCATCAGTGAGTAGAGCTGTGATAGACGGAAAGTTAACTTGTACAGATGTGTTGCTATGTTTAAATAGTCAGCTGACCCAGATTGCATTAGTATCTTCTCATTTCCCCCGAGCCTAACCATACAGATAGTTTTGGTTTTATTTGAGATATACATCTTTAAGAATTCTGCCTCAACCCAAATACAATGGAGGTGAATCACTGACATGACATAAATGTTTTTCCAGGAACAATGTACCTTTTATTCCGGATAATCAACAGACAGTTTTCATCAAAACGACTTTCTAGTGAAGAAATAGTCCTGTGGACAGTGTGTTTTAAAGGACATTTAGAATGCAGGAAGCGGTAGAAGACCACAGCGTGTTGCTTTGTTTGTTCTATGCAACATCATTTGTAATACCTGTTTGGTGTGAAGGAAATCTTGTAATAGATAGTTCACTCGTAATTGAAGAGGTTTTCAGGAGACCTTGATGACTTACACAGCTGAATTTATTGAAGCGTGATCGAGGAGAGTAGAGGTCAGCAGTACAAGTGGAGTCACTGTGTAGATGCCAGCTCAGTTCTGAAGGTTACCTCCTGGGTGGGATATTTAACACAAACCTTCAACCACAAGATCTACTAGTGACCCAACTATGGTCATAATTTACCCAGCTAAATATGTGACAAGATCAAGATGGGTATTGGTAAAAAATAAGAAACTACGCCTACCTAAGCTGTTCTAAATCCTTTTGAAACACACTCCTAGTTGCATACAACCCATTCTAAAGAGACCATCTGTCTGTGAGATTTATCTTAACCTTGGTTTCTGTAACAAAGTGGAACTATGGTGTTTGTGCCCATGCTTATCAATCCAGCTGTTCTGTGCAGTCAGTTGAGCTGGAGTGAAGATGAGATGAAGAGTTAATTTATTGCTTGAGTTGAGGCACAGGCTGTGACCTTGTGATTTGCAGCCTGCCCTAAAGTGGCACGGGGGAAACTAGCACCCTAACAACTGTAAGGCAACATAGACAAATTCCTCTTACATTAAGTTACTATGGAAACAGCAATAATTTCCTGTCACAAAGTGACAGGGCAGGAGGATTTACTTACAACACTTTTTAGTTTTATCTGTCAGTGCTCTCATAGTACAACAGCATTGACGGCGGAAGTCAAGAAAATACTAATTCTTTTCACTCTTCCTATCTCTCTCTGCCTTCTTACTCTCTTATCTCTCTCTCTCTCTTTCATTTCATAGATCTTTTTCTCCTTCATGCTGACTCCGTTATTTAAGAAGCCCAAGTTTGCCAGCACAGTGGGCTCCATGCTGACGGTGGTGTTTGGTTGCCTGTCACTGTTCACTGTGCTGATGAAGGACTTCCCACAGCCACTGGTCTGGCTTCTCTGCCTTCTCTCTCCCAGCGCCTTCTCAATTGGGATTGCACAGGTAACAAATTGTACACACACACTCACCCACATCCCCACACCATGCTTGACTGGTTATCTCATGTGACCATCTGTGTGCGTGTGTGTATCGTAGGTTGTTTACCTGGAGGCCCAGGGAGATGGTGCTGTGTTTTCCTCCCTCGCCAACGGCCCCCATCCTCTTTACGTGCCCCTGCTCATGCTGGTTGTGGACTGCATCCTCTACCTTTTGTTGGCTATCTACCTGGACCAGGTACTGCCTGGTAAGTACACACACACAGTATGCCTCAATATAAAAACCACCACCATTACAGCCAAGTTTCCTGGGATCACTTAGGTTTAGTCTTAACTTTTTAATGTTTGAGTATTGTTTACATTTTGCCTGAAATGCAGGTGAGTTTGGAATGAAGAGGTCCCTGGTATACTTCCTGAAGCCGTCCTATTGGTCCAAACGCAGGAAGCGCTATGTTGAAGTGAGCTCAGTATATGACACAGAGGTGAAAGGCACACCTGGCGGGGACGAGTCTGTCGAGCCTGTTTCACCGGAGTTCAGAGGGAAAGAAGCCATCCGGTAAAAGTTTGAACTTGTACATGAATTTTCAGTTGGATGCAAATTCCTGAGTGTTTACAGTCTGCTGCAATAAGCGCTTGGTAATGCAGCTTTACATGTAGCGTTACATTGCTTTATAGGTTACAGATTTTAAAAAAGTGGTTTTTTTAATGGTGGTTGCTTTTATAGTTTCATCATTTAACTTGGGACTAGAAAAAAATCATGTAATTTTAGCATACCTTGCACAGAAAATATATATCTAAAATATCCATTCAGAGATGAGCATAAATCAATGTCAGGCTCAGTGCAGCCTGGCTCTGTTCTTGGTTCGGTGCCCAACCATACTCACTGTTCGTCCTGGCTGAGGAGAACCTATGGGACCATCCTGTAACACTGACACTGCTTCTGTGTTTACACTTCTCTCCTTTATGTTTCATTTTTTTCATCATTGCTCATTTGCTTCTTCTCTGGCAGCATCAGTAACATCCAAAAAGTGTACAAAGAGAAGGACAATGTGGTGGAGGCTCTGAGAGGTGAGTCCTGAACACTTGCACTCAGTTGGTTCGGTTAAGATCAAAGGCTTCTCAAATTGCTGATGTTGTGGTTTTCTCAAGTTCTCATCGTATAAATCAGTTTGACTTCACAGTGGGTCCAGTTACTGTGAAATATCTGTTGCTCCATTTAGTGAAAAAAATAAAGAATTGTAACCTTACAGAAAAGCATAGTTTTGTGGTATGTGAAACCAATCCATCTGCTCTGACAATTTAGTGCAAAAGCTGTCATTAAAATGTAATTGTATCAAAGACAAAGAGAAAATACTGTTTCCCATTAGGATTAGTCATGAAAAATGAGTTTTTCTGTGCAACCTTATCTTTTTTAGTCAGCAGAAAATTATTTAAGTGTCCCATGGTGGATCTAATCTTATTAATTACGTTCCTTCAGAATTGCTCTGCCTACATTGGAATTATTAATATTAAACAATATAAATGTCCTACTGTGTGTCTATTAATGTGGATTTTCTGATTGATTGTCATGATTCTGTCCTCCTCTTTCTTTACATCTCGTCCCCAGGTTTGACGTTTGACATCTATGAGGGCCAGATCACGGCTCTGCTGGGACACAGCGGGGCAGGCAAGTCGACTCTCATGAACATCCTGTGTGGCATCTGCCCGCCCACTAACGGCTCGGCTACCATCTACGGCTCCCCTGTAGCAGAGATTGCAGATGCGTCAGAAATGAAGCAGCTGGTGGGAATTTGCCCCCAGTTCAACATCATCTTTGACGTGCTCACTGTGGAAGAGCACCTGAGGATATTTGCTGCCATTAAAGGAATCCCACCGGGGGACATCAATGCTGAGGTAATGTGATGATCTATACACTGCCTCTGTCTGATTGTTTGCAAGTATAAAACAACAGTCAACCATGCTCTTTACAATCCCCAACCGCCTCCCCACTTTTTCTCGCATGACAGTACATAGTAATACGTACGTCTTATTCAGAAATGTAGTGCGAGATTGACTGCAGGGACAGTTTCTTTAAGAAAGTGACAGTGGTCAGGCTGTTGTTCCTTGGTGTGATTTTACTTCTTCCTACTAGGTTACCAAAGTGCTAAAGGATCTGGACTTGGAGAAGATCATGACTGCTCAGGCCAAGAATCTGAGTGGAGGCCAAAAGAGGAAACTCTCTGTGGGCATTGCCATTCTTGGAGATCCTAAGGTACCTGGAGTTTGATATGGATAAGTGCTTTTACTTATAATGTGTCTTTGTTACTATCCTGGTCTCACACTAGAAAGTCTTTGAAATGCCTGGAGTTGTCAGTAACTGTGTCACCAGTCCTAGCAGGATAACATCAGCTTGGGCCCATTCTAAGCAGTTTGCATCATGTTTGTACCTGTCAGATCCTGCTCTTGGACGAGCCCACAGCAGGCATGGACCCCTGCTCCAGACACCAGGTCTGGTCGCTGCTGAAGAGCCGCAGAGCCGGCAGAGTCACTGTCCTCAGCACACACTACATGGACGAGGCTGACATTCTTGCTGGTATGAACTCTCTCTGTTGCATAATATGCACTGACACACAGGCACCAAACCCATTAGGGAGATGTCATCCGACCTTGGAAAATAAAAGGGTCAAATTTACATTTTACTCTTGCTAATTTTATATAGGTTAAAAGTGGAAATGAATTAGATTTTAGATTTTTTTTTTATTTTGTGCATTGTGCCCATGCCATTATGTTAATTTATGACACACACTGAGTCCACGAGACATCCAGGGATTCATCCAAGTCCTCAACTGTTAAGTTCTGCTCCTAGCATAAGCCACTTCAAGATGTTCATTTTTACATGTGCCAACTTGATCCAGTTTTGTATTCATAAAAAGAGCTGCTTCTTTACTCTGACAGCTGACATTATTCATGTTTGAATTTGAGGAAAAACTGATGTTTCAGCACTCATAATTGCATATTGTTTGTAGCCAGCTGCAGTTTCAGAATCACAAAGATATGTTGTTATTGTTAAACACTGATGGTTTTTATTCTCCAGACCGTAAAGCTGTAATCTCTCAAGGACAGCTGAAATGTGTTGGCTCTTCTCTGTATCTCAAGATCAAGTGTGGTGTTGGATATCATCTCAGGCAAGTAGATTGTGTAGTTTACTACTGCAGCTTTCAAGTACTAGAACTTACTACACGATCATAAGTCACTTAAAACCAAATATGAACCTTTTTATGAATGGCCTGATAAATATATAAAACTATGTACAAATCCTGAAAAAGGCAAAAACATTGATGGCATGTAAAAAATATACTTTAATGATTTTAATAAATGTTCAATGTTGTCCTCTGTCTTAACCGTATAGTTCTTAAGCCAAGTAGTTTTATGTTTTATGTGTTTTTCCTCCATCGCAGAATGTCTATCAACGAGAGATGTGAAGCTGAAAAGATCACATCATTGGTCAAGCAGCATGTTCCCAAGGCAAAGTTGTCCCGACAACATGAGGCAGAGTTAACATTCACTCTGCCTTTTGAGAGCATGGACACATTCCCAGGTCAGATCACTATCTAATAATATAATAATAGTAATATAAATAGTCTGTTATTTATTTACCATGAAACCTGATCTGGGACAAATTTTAAATGTTGTTTATGTATAAATGGTTTAAGATAACATTGGTGCTAGTTGGTAAAATCCCACATTTACAGCTAGTGCAGAAATGTTCAAGACCATTTACATAGATTCCCTTTGACTGCCAGCCTTCTCACTGTCTACAACCCACCCAGACAAATGCTAAAATAATTACTGCAACTCACTTGCCACTCAGCTTTGACTCTAACAGCAGTAGACCAGCAGCAAGTACTGATTAATTTGTCTTTCATAGGCTTGTTCTCTGAGCTTGACTGTCAACCCAATCTGGGAATTATCAATTATGGGGTTTCCATGACAACACTGGAGGATGTTTTTCTTCGTTTGGAGGCTGAGGCGGAAGTGGACCAAGCTGGTGAGTGTGTTACCAAAGCAGTTAGGAGTGTCATTACATTAACAACAATATAAAACTACTTCCTAATTCAATACAATGACTGCATTTGTACAAATGAGTATTACTTGTTTGTTTAATGTCTTCAGACTACAGTGTGTTTAATCGGGAGCAGACAGAGGATGACAGTGACAACGTCTCTCTGGACGATACAGACCAGCGGCTGCTGACATTCTCAGACAACAAGTCAGATGTGGTGTCGGGTCACGCTCTGTGGCGGCAGCAGTTCAGCACCGTGGCCTGGCTGCACATGCTCAACATGCGCAGAGAGAGAAAGGCCTTTGTTTACACGTGAGTATTCAGAGATAAAAGTGATTTGAAAACAAAATGCAGACCCTGACACCTTTAACTAGCTGTCAAACATCACATGGTAAAATATCTATTTTTGCAAATTGTTTTTATTAGTATGTACAATTTGTTTTCACTTTTTAGCATTGTAAAACACATACACTGCATAAGATGCACATTTTTATATACTTAAACTTATGTGTGTTAATATTTAATTTGCTAACATGAACTTTTGCAGATTGCAGATTGCAACCAACTGAATACCGCTTGCCTTCCAAGCACGTGGAATAATCAATGATGGCTGTAAAAAGGCAAAAGGCCTGATCTAGAGCCAGTGTTTGGTTTGTCCATTCTGAGCTATTCTAGAAACACGGTGGTTCAACAGGACTCTCCTGGATATCATCATTATATATTTTCAGCATTTTATACTGGAAAAACAGTTTTCATATCGGCACATATCTGATAACATAAAGACCAATTTTGATGTAATAGCAATAGACCAGTATAGACCCATCATATCGGTCAGCTGATATATCCGTTGGACTCTATTCAAAAGGTCTATATTCATCTGCAGGATTATAAAGAATCTGCATTTGTGTGTTTCTGAGACATTGTCCCTTCCATTCATCCTGTCTTTCCTCACTACCTCCCTTCTCTTGCAGTTTGGCCCTGTTCCTGGTGTTTGTTGCTGCAGTGCTTGTGCTATCTCTGGCCACAGGAAACATCCAGATTCACTCCCCAGACCGTCAGTTTCTGCCCATTTACCTCCTCAAAAGGAACCAGGCGCCCCGGAGATACACTACCAGCCTCCTGATTCAAAACTCCTCAGGTTAGTCCACTGGAGGTTTGTCCAAAGGACAAGATTTTGTTTTGTGACCTGGGGGAAAACAAGCTGATCGCTGATATTTTGCTCCAGGATATTTGCTGTACAACTGAAACCTAGACCTTGTATTAGATTCAATTTTTAAGGAAAGTCTGCTTTCATGTTTTGTTATATGTCCTCTCAATGATTGATCTTTCCTTTCTGTAAGAAAGTGCTGCGTGCTGTAAATATTGTGAATGGATACTGCCTGCAGCACAACTGTTAAATTACACAGTAAATCCTAATTGATGAGAAAGTTTCCCATGGGTGCAATTCTAACTGATCTCCTCGATGATGGTCCTCTGAATATTCCTTTACTTTCTCTGCATTCTCCATTTTGAGCTCCCTACAGTGCAGTTTTCTTACATGTGAGTTAGCAGTGCTTTGTTTTTTTGTTCTTGTGCCAACAGGCTCTGATATTTCTGACTTCGTCCACAACCTGGAGTCTCAGAACATCAAAGTGGAAATGATGAAACATAGCGACTACATGGCCACAGCTCCCCACAGCGCTGCCATCAACGTAACAGGATCCAGCAAGGTCATTTTAATATTGGACAGATTGAATACATTTTTTGATACATGATATTTAATGAAACTGGAGATAAAGCATCAGATGTGGCCTCACCTCTGCTGCAGCATTTGTAACAGTAATGTTCCAGATGAAGAGCCCTTTTTTGATGGCTGCTGTGCCTTATATTTAAGCCGCATTTCGACCAAACACTTTCATTATAGTACCCTTCAAACCCGTGATGGAATAGAGTGGTTCTATTGTGGAAAAGCACAAATAACTGTTTATTAATGAGTCACAAACTGAACCGAACTGGACTGGACTGCTTGGTGGAAATGTGGCTTTAGATGGAATGGAGTTTACCTGCCAAGATATTGCACTCTTTAACACTTCCTTTTCTTTCTCTTAACAGGGTTTCAGATACAGCGTTGCATTCAACAGCACCACAGTTCACTCTTTGCCTATGGCTGTCAATGTACTAAGCAATGCTCTTCTTAGAGGTCTTAATGGTACTGGACAGATCCGAACCTGGACCAAACCGTTTGATTATGTGAGTATTTGACGAAGTGAGACCGCACAGATCTTATCTATTTTGTTTACCTGTGCCATTTAAAGATATTAAATGTATTCATTGTGACATCCCTCAGCAAATCCCAGACGCTACATCCTATGCTCTGGTGTACATAGAGGCCATCATACTGGGAATGCTGGCAGCTGGAATGCCTGCGTATTTTGCAATGGACCACACTCGAGATCGAGAGGTAACCAGTTATATATGATTCTAACAATCATTTCATCTGTCCAGCAAGGCATTTATTTCACAAAGAGTAGAAATATTGCACTCCACAGCATGGACAACATTTTGACATATTCTGATTTCTTAATTTTGAATCGTAACCTAGCTTTGTACAAAAGTGAGAGAGAGAGGAGTGATTTTACTGCAGAGGGACCTACATAGGTAAATGTGCACTCATAAACCACTCCTCCCCTGTTCCTCCTCTCATTTTAAAAGATTGTTTTTGTGGCACTTTGCCTTTATTGGACAGTTTTGAGAACTAGTGAGCAGCAGGAAACATGAAAAGGAGGGGACCACATATGAGAAAGGTCCTGAAGAGTCAAACCGGGTACGTCATTGTTACATGGTTTGTGTGGTAGATACATCTGGCACATCAGGGTTCCCAAGTCACCGAAGGTTCTGTCACTCCAATAGTGTCCCCTCCCCTAGAGCTCATAGTAATTGGTTAGATTTTATTTTCTTTGTATTCTTCCATTGCAGTCTCCCGTTACTGCTGGCTTTCCCAAAGATTCACTATCCTGATTATAAGTCAATGAAATAATGCAGTAGATGTCAGATATAGTCTCATATTTTCATAAGTGTCGACTTGTATCTTCTCCCATCTTTCCTTCTTCAGATCAAGTGTCGCTCTACGCTGCGTATCTCTGGTTTGGTTCCATCAGCCTACTGGTGCGGTCAGGCAGCTGTGGACATTCCCTTCTACTACCTCATCCTCTCCTGCATGACCATCATCCTCTTCTCCTTTCACACTGGAAACCTGCTCACCTCCAGCAACCTCACCGCTGTGGTCCGTACTGCTGTTTATACCTGGTGGCTCACACAGACATTCCACAAGATTGTCATATGTACCACTCCTCTTTCACACACCCCTTGGACAAAAAATACCTACATTTGTGCAAAATGCCTGCCCCTCTGTTGCACCTATTTCACATAATTTAGATTTAACTTTCAGATAACACATATGGGACAAAATGCTCAATTAAAGTCTCAAAAACGTTCTAAAATGAAATATATAGTATATAATACATGATGCAATTAATATTGACAGTAATATTACCATTCAGTCCTGTTTTATGACTTCCCTTCTCCCCTCTCCTAGGTCCTGTGTACCGTTGGCTATGGTCCAGCCATGATCCTCTTCACTTACGTTTTTTCTTTTGGCTTTGCCCGAGTCCAGAGCAACAGGGATTTCTTCTCTGTCATCTCCATGATGGTAAGGGGCATTCCTTGTCTATATACATTGAAAATACTGGTGTTAGCCAACTTTTTAAATGTGAACTCCAAACAGCACAATAAAATGTGTTCATGGAATCCCTGAGATTAATAATTTAAATAGAAAGTATCACTGTACATTTTGTGATCCTAAAAGAGCTTCATCTTTATTTTCTTACTTTGACACCAAAACAATTTTATTATGAAATTCTGCTTTTGGATGACAGTCATTATTAGATTCACATGAAAGGATTTTGCGCACTAACTGAGCGACCTATGCCTCAGGTGTGTGTTGTGTCAGCCTCGCTGGTTCAGTTGTCGGAAAACCCTGGACTGACCAGAAACCTTCACAACGCCTTGTGTTTCTTCAACCCTCTGTACCCACTCATGGGCTGCCTCAACTGCATCACCAAGGTAGGATTTCATACATAAGAAATTCACTGCCACTAGCACGGCATCTCAAACCAAAACAAATGGACAGCCTCCAAAGACAAACCCAGTTTACTTCTAGGAAAATCGTGACACACCCTGCAAACTGGATGGAAACTCGTTTTATGGGTTCCTTCTTAGAAATGGAACACCTGACTTGCATGTTTTCTCCGTTTACAGGCGACCTTCCTCCCCTCTCAGTATGAAGAGAACTTCTTGTGGAAAAATCTGCTCATTGCGGTTGTAGCTGTATGTATCTATTTTATTTATTTATTTTATTTTATTTTTATTTACCCAAACATTGCTATGTTCAGACAAAAGAGACAGTGTGTGTCCTGCTGTAATACTGTATGTGTGTTTCTGTGCTCAGCCCTATCTCCAGTGCATCCTGCTGCTTTTCCTGCTTCGTTGGCTGGAGCTCCATTACGGAGGGAGGACGATGAAAAACGATCAGTTCTGCAGGTGATGATTAGATTTCAGGTCATAACTCAGATTACACAGAACCTCGGTGCATTCTATTTTTATTTAACACAGAGGCTTATTACTTAAACTAATATAATATCAATTCAGACTGAGAAGCTTGCACTGTCTGTGTGAAATACAAGTTCATATTACAATGATGGAAGATAATTTGCCATTTCCGGTCAGACACACAACCAGATTTGTTACAATAACTTAACTAATTCATTTACAAATGTTTGACCAGCTTTATGTTTTCATTTAAACCTTCACAGGATCTCATCCAAGTCACAGCCCAAAGTGGAGAGGAACCCAGAAGAAGGTCTGAACGAGGATGAGGATGTTCAGATGGAGAAAGCCAGAGTGAAGGAGGCTCTTACCTGCCAGTCCTGTGAGGAGGTGAGTGGATATCTATCTTTGGTACAGTACAGGTTACATTAGGGGGGGGCTAGAGAACCTGAATTTGCAGTATTTATTTTTATTCATAGTATTTTTTTCCCCACTTGCCATCTTAAGGTATTTGCTGAACAGTTAAATTTATCTCTCTGTGTCTTATGCGTTTAGAAACCGGTGGTGGTTGTGAGTAACCTGAGAAAGCAGCACAAGGGCAGAAGAGAAGGTTTTTCTTTGAACAAGACGAGGAAAGTGGCCACAAAAAACATCTCTTTCTGCGTTCGCAAAGGTATGTTTTTGTCAAGTGGATCAATGCTTATTAGATTGTTTGGACTGTTGCAATTCACGAGGAAACCTGTGACAGAAGTTCAGCCAGTAAAAGAATGTAAATGCTGTTTCTTCAGGTGAAGTTCTTGGACTGTTGGGTCCCAACGGAGCAGGAAAGAGCACCATCATGCATATGTTGTCAGGTGACACTGACCCCACTGCAGGCCAGGTACAGTACAGATGCTACCCTCCTTGTCTCTACTGTGGAATATCACTTCCTGATCTCCAGACTGATTCTACTTCAACCTGATATTTAATTATTAGAAAAAAAATGGAAGTAAATTCACTGAAATTATTGACATTGTTAAAAATGTGTATTGACTTGCTCAACTGTTATTGGAGCACTGAGCAAAAAGGGGGGGGACTTAGGAAGGCTTGATTGTTATTCTGTAATGCATGACAACCCCGCCTCTTCCTGTTACCAGTATTGTGACCTTTAGATATAATGTCCTTGATTTGAAAAGAGATCTGAAAAAGAAAATCCCTTTTTCTCTAGTAAAGTAAAATTGAGAGACAGACTGAAATGACAGATGGATGATGGATGCAGAACATAATATTGTCAATACATCAACTGCCCGTGTGTTTGCTTTTGTCCAGGTGCTGATGGGGGACTATAGTACAGAGTTTCGTCAAATGGACAACCCGTTGGAACATGTGGGCTACTGTCCACAGGTGAACCCTCTGTGGCCCAGGATCACTCTGCAGGAGCACCTGGAGATCTACGCCGCCATCAAGGGCCTGAGAGGACAGGATGTACCAGGTATCATCAGACGGTAAGTCTCACGTCACTCCCACTTTTAGCATCAGACTAAGCTGTTAAAGACACTGATCAACCAACAGCCATGTAAAGCTAACCCTTGTGTTCTGTTCATGTTATCAAGTTTTGTCACTCATATAATGTAGATTGTAAATAGTTTATCTGTAAATAGAATGAAACTTAATGGTGAAGGATAACAATAAGGCTTTTTATTCAAGCTTTTATTTACTTTGGTTTTATCGTGGTAATAATAAGTCGAGTAGAAGACGTAAAGGTAGCTGACAGTTGTTTTGTGACTGTTGTTGTTGTCAGTGTGGTGAACGCTCTGGAGCTCAAGGACCACTTGAACAAACAAGCCAAGAACCTGTCAGCAGGACTCAAGAGGAAGGTCAGTTCACTCAGCTGTGCAGGAAGATGGTGTATTTTAAAGAATCCAACGGACTTCAAATTGTTAAAATGTTACGGTTTGTGGACCAATTTGCATGAACAGCAAAACATTTAAAAATGTAATTTAATTCCAGTTGATTTTTTAAGCATCTTACAACCTGGATGAGTCTTTTTTATTCATGAGTAAACTTTGAATTTTCAGGTGTGTCAACGCTTTCACTCCTTCTGTTCATTGCATCACTTTTGTTTTTACACACATTGTTTGACCACTTTGTTGTCGCGTTTGTCTCCAGTTGTGCTTTGCCTTGAGTATGATTGGGAATCCTCAGATTGTTTTACTGGATGAGCCGTCATCAGGAATGGACCCCAAGTCTAAACAGCGCATGTGGTGAGATTTTACTCATGACAGGAACATTCCTCAATTTTCCTTGATTCTATTGTGTGTTTAACGTGTTAAACTGTTCAATTTATTGTCAAAGGGAAGGTTAGACTTAAATTAATTTAATTAGTAGATTTCGATCTTTCCAAAACAGCTGTTTAAACACAATAAAAAGGTCAAAATGTGAAAGTTCTTTGTCGAAACTTTAACGTTCTCCAAATTAGACAAAATTAAAATATATTGCACCACAGCTTCATTGTTATTTAATTAAGACTTTACAGTTTAGCCTTTTTTTATTTGATATTCATTCATTACTTCTCAAAAGATATTAATTCTGTCATGAATTGTGATGTAGTTTTCCTTTGATAGGTGTTAACCTTGGTCACAGAGAGTAGGTTTAGCTATAGAGCAGAAAGAAGGCTTGACGACACTTAACTGTGGAGGAGTCTCGTCTTCACAGGGACGTTCTGCCTCTCACCTCGTCTCTCTGTCACATTTAACATCAGTCTGTGACCTCGGTATCTCATATTGTGTAGGAGGGCCATTCGTGCTGCTTTCAAGAATCGTCAGCGGGGAGCCGTCCTCACCACGCACTACATGGAGGAGGCGGAGGCCGTGTGTGACCGTGTAGCTATCATGGTGTCGGGCCAGCTGAGGTTAGTACTCACAGCTGTGTATGGATGGTGTCTGAAAGAACAGATATCTTCATGCTCTCTCTGTTTTGCTCTATCAGATGTATCGGCTCCATCCAGCATTTAAAGGGCAAATACGGTCGAGGCTACAGTTTGGAGGTTAAACTCAGAGAGGAGCTGACGGGGCTACAGCAGGTGGCGCTGTTGCACAAAGAGATCCTCCGAATCTTCCCTCACGCTGCCCGGCAGGAGAGGTGAGACCCAGTCCGTTAGTCTGTTGAGAAGAGAAGGGACACTGAGTTTCTTATGTACACTAACACACTAAGCTACATTTAAATTCTACATTTAAAAATCTATTCGCATTTCTTCTTTGATCCTTTGGAAAAGTTAAATGTACCCTTTTTAAGAAATGTGTAATGCCTTGTTCATAATTTAGTGCAACAGTGTAACACACTCCTACATGAACATGCCTCATTCTGTTGGCTGGTGCTTTCTCTGCAGCTTTGCTACTCTGATGGTTTACAAGATCCCCATGGAGGATGTCAAATCACTGTCCAAGTCTTTCTCTAAGTTAGAGAGTGGTGAGTCACTGTCTCTCACACACACACAC